ACTTTGTAGTATGGTAGACTCTTGGCACCGTCAACATAATTACAACCTTGCCCTTCTCATTTTCTGGGATACCTTTGGAATTACACCTGTCAGAAAATGGTCTAGTGTACAGTACGGGGCCAGTAAACCTGCCAACTTCACACATAGATGTTTGCAGTCAAGGAGAATCATCTGGAATTCATCAAGTTACACAATCAAGAACCTGTCCCAGAATAACCTGAGCTGGAGGCTCTGGGCTGGTAGGATGACTCATGTCAGATTTACAAACAAACAAATAAATACCTCAAGATGAGCTTTATAATTGGGACCCTTTGCCTTTGGACTGAAAGAACAGAAAGCATCATTTGAGAGGCTGGGGCTGGCAGATCCTTCAGTCATAACCTTTGATTCTCTTCCACACCTCTTTTTGCATCTTAGGTCTCCTTTTTACACCTAGGTAATGTGTATGACTCTGAGCAAAGGTATTTAATGATGTTGGGCCTCTATTTCCATGTCCAGGAAACGTCTTTCATGGAGTACCCACCTCCTAAAATGTGTGGCAGGATTTAACGAGATAATACACGCACAGGACTGAAAAACAGGGCCTGGTATATGGTCATATTCAGTATTCCTCTTGCTGTGGTGATGGCTGTTGTCTCATTGAGAAATAACAGGTTCCTGCTGCCTGTACCTGCCCATCAGTGTGCAAGTCATCAGGGTCCAGTTATGTCAGAGAGACAGATATACAAGTAGGTTATGGTGATGGAGAAAGAAGGCCCCTGGAAGGATTTGTTGAGGAAAACAGATTGACAAAGAAGAAAGACTTGGAAGTTAGAAGACAAGGGCTTGAATTCTTTCTGAACAATTAACTCATTGCGTGACCTTGAGCTGCCTTCTTCTTACCTTTCTTTCATCTCAAAACTGAGGTGAAAAAATATTTACAGCATAGATTGCTTTGAAAGATTAACCCAGACAAGACAAATATCTATATCCAACTCATGAGGCAGACTAGCCAAGTTCTTGGTATAAAGCATGAATTTATTTTCACAAACATTAATCAAAAGTCGGAGAACAGAAACAATACTTAGGGCAGATCACTTACAGGAATCGCTGGCCATCCACTCCCCAAATATTAAAAAAATCTGCTCCCAGACCAAGCCAGGTCATCAGGGAAACACATTCCTCCACTAAGGCCCCACATCCCTCCTACAGAAAACTCATTATCAACTGACTTCACAGTGAGGCGAAGCCCACCATATTGATGGGCCTCACAAGAATAAGTCCTATAAAACTTATTATTCACATAATACAGAGGCTGCCAAGGACATCTGTCATTACTGTTACAATAAACCATTTATAAGAATTGCCAGGAGAAATCCCAGCTTGGATTTAGGACTGAAAAGGGAATATCTGTCCTGAGTTTTGAAAGCTGGAAGCAAATATAGGTTTACTGTTTAGAGTCAGGCCAAAAATGTGTTCCTGCCTTCATTCAAAAATATTTATTGAGCACCTACTATGTTCTAGACTCTCCACTAGGATCTGGGAACATAATGACAAGGCAGGAAACATCTCTACCTTCACAGACCTAGACCCCAGTGGGGAGGGACAGATGGTTATAATTACCAACAAGTGATTATGATTACAAAGCAATGATGCTGAATGAACCAGAAACAGGTGCCGGGTAATTAGATAAGATCTATCACCCTCTTACTTAGACAGGGAGATAGAAAGATAATCAAATGAAGCCGAGCTTCCACCAAGAGAAGACCAGGAAGACCCTCTAGGGAAGACACACATCTGTGGAAATCAGTGGAATAAAGACACAAGTTGGGAAAAGACAAGAGGTAGGTGCTGAGGACCTAGGACTGTGTATCCCCTACCATGACCAGAACTGATCTATTTATGGACTTTACAACAGTACCATGTCTACATGCACAGAATCATATTGAGTGCTCATAACTATGTCTAAATCACGTCATAGGCTCCTGAGGAAACTGACCTGATTTTATGACTCTTAAGCACTTTCTAAGAGGAAGTATCAAAGAAAGGACAAAGAAAGGTCTGGTGTTACTTGAGATATAATCTTAGGTATTTAATGCACCACACTGAGAGTCACATCAATACAACCTTGTCAGTTCCTATCACCACTTACTTCTGAAAGGAGCAAGGAACAGCCGGTCTATACTGGGATTATAAATGCCTCCTTCAAACTGGATGCAACCACCTTCTTTATTTCCAAAGATGCTGGATGTTCAGAGAACAGAATTTAATATCTAAGAGATATCCTGAAACCAAAAAGTTTAACCAGGTAAGCAGGAGATCTGGGTTTTGACCCAGTTCTATCGCATAAAGAAATGATATGTATCTGGAGAAAACTCCAATTTGAAAACATACCTGCACCCCAATGTTCAGAGCAGCAGTATTTACAATAACCAAGACATCAAAGCAACCTAAACGCCCAACAACAGATGACTGGATAAAGAAACTGTGGTATATTTATACAACAGAATATTACGCAGTCATGAAAAAGAATGAAATAATGCCATTTGCAGCAACATGGGTGGACCTAGAGATGATCATACTAAGTGAAGTAAGTCAGACAGAGAAGGACAAATATCATATGATATCACTTATATGTAGAATCTTTTAAAAAATGATACAAATGAACTTATTTATAAAACCAAAACAGACTCACAGACATAGAAAATAAACTTACGGTTACCAAAAAGAAAAGATGGTAGGAAGGGATAAATTAGGAGTTTGGGATTAGCAGAAACAAACTACTATATATAAAATAGATAAACAACCAGGCCCTCCTGTACAGCACAGGGAACTATATTCAATATTGTGTAATAAACTATAATGGAAAAGAATCTGAAAAGAATATATGTGTGTGTGTGTGTGTGTATAACTGAATAACTTTGCTATACACCAGAAACTAACATAACATTGGAAATCAACTATACTTCAATTAAAAAATAAAAGAAATGACACATGAGGATTGGAGGCTATGTGAGTGACCTCAGCGAATACCTCATATGCCTCGTGTAGTAGCAAAAATAGCCAATGCTTATTAGAGGTTTACTGCATGTCAAGCACCTGGTCCATGTGTTTTCTATGTATTAACTCACAACAACCTCCCGAGGTAGGCATCATTGTCATTTACAACTGAAGACACCAAGGCACAGAGAGATGCTGTGACATTTCCAGGTCACGTGGTTGGTATATTCAAATCCAGGCAGCTCAGCTCCAGAGCCCAGGGTCTTCACCACTGCTTTACTCTCCCACCTTCCACCCAGAGCATCCCAGGGAAGTTAAAGGACAGATGGGCGTGCCATGCCTCCAGATATATTCAAGCACCTCTTTGGGGACTTTATGACATCACAATAGACAGCAAGAGAGCATTACAGGGCGGCCCTCTGCCCTGCTTGGCCCAGGACAGCCTCAGCGTGTGCCTGTTGCCCCAACGCCTGCCAACATCGTCCTTGTGTCCAGGGTGCTCCTGTCTGGACAGGAAGGAGTATTGTCACCTAAGCCCAATGGCTAAGAACTGACCTTTTGAAGTTGGTTCGAAACCCAGCTTAGCCATTAACATCGGCGGTGGCTACTGAGGCCAGTTACTTTGCCTAAATAAGCCTCAATGTTCTCATCTACTAAGTGGAAGTAACCAGAGAACCTACCTCCTAGCACTGTTGCGGGACACACAGGAGTCAAGGCATGTGCAGGTTCTATGAATCAGTGAGCACAGTGCTTAGCAAATTGGGAGCCCTCACCAACATCTAAGGGACTGTTTGAGAGGCTTTCTCATGTCAGCAGCAGCATGGTAGACGGCTTTGTGACTTGGGACGTGAGACATCAAAACACAACCTGTCAACCTGCAGCACTTAGCCACAAACCGGGGTAAGTAAGGAAGGACAAGTCTCTCTAAGTCCATCACGGGTACTTCCGTAAGTACTCATTCTGAGACTAAATTATACTCCTAGAGCCGTTGAAAATGCAGGGTGCCTCTTGGTCACTCCCAAGGCTTTATCTGTTCCAGTCCAGACCCCACGGAAACCGGGCTGAAATGCTAAATTGTATGGTGACAGGGAGTAAGGAAATAAACTTGGAGTTTGTCATCTCTTTGAGGTCCTTTTTAGCCTCTTGGACCAGCCTGGATTCAGGGTGACAACTTCCAGGATCACTCTGCTTTCAAACGCAAGTCGTGGACCCACCTGACTTTGTACTCAAAGCCTGGAATAGCTTCGGGATGCAGAGAAAATTCTTTATTTGGCATGAGTGTGGCCACAGACTAGCCCTTGTGCCTGCAGCTGAAGTGGCTGACTGCACACCTGCCAAAATGACTGTCACTTGAGAGCATCTTGGCCCTCAGGCTCCATAAATCAAAGTCAAGGGCTTGGAGAAACCACATGGCTAGTTAGTACATAAACAGAACAAATCACCTCTTTTTGTCTCATTTTCTTTGCAAAATAAAGGGGTTAAATCCATCATGAAAAAGCAAGGGGGTGGATCTGGCTAACCTGGTCTGGCTTGGAGCCTCTTAAAAAGATTTCCCTTGTTGAAGACGGAAAGATAAGCCACTTCCCCCTCACTTTTCAAAACTTCCAATGAACAAAATCCTACTGACTTTCCATAGCAAGCTCTCTAATCTTATACGCCTGACTGTCAGCAAGTTCTCTGCTTCACCCCCTTCCTCTCCTCATCATGCAAATTGCCACGGCTTTAATTAGATGTAATAAGCCTCTGGGAAGCGCGGTGAGGGGAACGCGGAGCACCGATCGCACAGCGTGGGCTTACTCTTGCCCGCGGAGAACAGCATCTCCCTGGAACTCGCACATCCTCCCAAAGCTGGGAGACTCAAGCATGCCAAGCGCTTGGAAAGACACGCTGCTCTGCTGCTGCTGTCCAAATGTGAAACGTGGGCGGAGAAAATCAGTTAGAAAAAGGGATTGAGGGAAAAAAGGAAAATCAGCCCGAATCCCCCCAACAGTTGCAAATAAGCACGCGCGGGGAACGGTTACCTGGGATGAACTGGGATTTCCTGCTCACGGTGGGCAGCGTCCTGTTGAGCCCGAGGATCCTGTCCAGGTGGAAGGCAAACACCTCGCTCATGTCCACAGGCTGTTTGAGCAGGCCAC